ATGTGTTTATAGCACTCAATAATGGCCAATCCATCCTATTTTGGGTAATTTTATTTAATTTTTTTTTTTTTTTTTAAGTAGGCTAATTGGGATACTTTCTCAATTTTGACTTTTTTCTCACAATTCAGAATCGTGGGATATGAATTGTGAGATAGAAAAATCGCAATTACATTATTTAATTATTAACGGGCTACCATAATATTAAGATGTAACAGAACGTCAATCATAACTAGACTAACTACAGGGTTGCCAACTCTCACGCATTTGGCGTGAGACACACGCTTTTAGGCTTTTAGCGTTCAAATTTTGTAAGTTTCAATACTAAATTCAAACAAAACAAATAAATGCCGTTTTGGCGCACTTAATGTGGTGTAAATCGTAAAATGTAGCGCTTCAGTTAAAGCCAGAGCTATTGAAAAACAGAGTTGCGACAAGCTTTGATCTCGCCGCGCGGTCACGTGATCCATAGAGCTCTCCAAACAAACCAGCGTTGACTATACATTTAAATGGGTTTAAGTACAATAGATGACAGCTTCATTATACAGGCATTTGGAGCAATTTTTGGTGAACATTACAACATATGCACACCTTAACTATTTTTCAGTTAAATAAATGTTCTATATTTTAATTCAATTATATTTATTTTATATTTTGAGGAGATCTTTTGGTATGAATACTATTTGTGCAATAAACATGGTCCATTAATGACTTTTTAAAAAATTTCTAATATTTCTATGATTTATATTACAATTAGTGAAGTATTTAAGGTTAAAATAGAGAAAAGGGTTTAGATTTCAATGCAAAGATGCAAATTAGAGTCACTTTGTGGTCGGAAAAAAAAATCAGTTTCATTTTTAATGCTATGGTTTAGGCAACCCACTAGGTACCTTTAAAGGGGACATATGATGCGATTTCAAGTTTTTCTTTCTCTTTGGAGTTACAAGCTCTTGGTGCATAAAGAAGATCTGTAAAGATGCAAAGACTAAAGTCTCAAATCCAAAGAGATATTCTTTATAAAAGTTAAGAGTCAGCCACACCTACCTAAAACAGCTTATTCTAACACGCCCCCACGTCTACCTCACTATGTGGGAAGATCGCTTTTCAGACCGATGAAAGGCGGGGCATAGAGGAGAAACAATAATGTACAGTATGTGGAAAATAATGTGTTTTTTGAACCTTAAACCGCATAAACACATTTCATTACACCAAATACACAAAATAATGTAGCAACGTCATATGACCCCTTTAAGGCTCTTTACGAAATATACATGTATCTACTCGTCTAGTTTCTCAATAGAATATTGCAGGTCATACCTGCTTACTTATTTTTAAGTTTTTCATTTGAATATATATTTAAACATGATTAAGCACTAGATTTTTAAATGTGAAATTTAAAAAGTTAATAACTTGCATTCTTTTTTTAAGTATATACAATGAATGCAAGCAAATACTGAATTTAACCCAAGCTTATAATGGTGCTAAAAAGTTCAACTGCATTCAACAAAAGAAATGATATTGAATCGAGATCAATTCAAAAGACACGTAACGACACGCCCCCTTCAGTGTTTTACCTCCAGATACAGACACGCGGCAAACGACTCGTTCACGACGATGACTCCGTGCTTGAACGATGGCACCTACACATTTCATTACACCAAATACACAAAATAATGTAGCAACGTCATATGACCCCTTTAAGGCTCTTTACGAAATATACATGTATCTACTCGTCTAGTTTCTCAATAGAATATTGCAGGTCATACCTGCTTACTTATTTTTAAGTTTTTCATTTGAATATATATTTAAACATGATTAAGCACTAGATTTTTAAATGTGAAATTTAAAAAGTTAATAACTTGCATTCTTTTTTTAAGTATATACAATGAATGCAAGCAAATACTGAATTTAACCCAAGCTTATAATGGTGCTAAAAAGGTCAACTGCATTCAACAAAAGAAATGATACTGAATCGAGATAAATTCAAAAGACACGTAACGACACGCCCCTTCAGTGTTTTACCTCCAGATACAGACACGCGGCAAACGACTCGTTCACGACGATGTCTCCGTGCTTGAACGTTGGAACCTGCAAATAAAAAGAAAAAAGTGCAATATTAAAACAAAAGTTTGGCAACTGTTCCGTCGCTGAATTAAAGCTGCATGCATAGTAAACGCCCAATGCAACCCTAAGAAATCATAAACGACACGTCTGTAAGGCATCTGAACGCACCTGAACTCTGGGATTGAGAGCTTTCACTTCTTCACACTTGTGTTCGTTCTTGTCAAAAGACAGAAGTTTGTGTTTGTATCCCTGCAGCTGCTTCTCCTCCAGCGCGATCTTGACTCTCCAGCACGGCGGAGAACCGGAGCTCCAGTACAGCAGCATGCTCTGCGCCATGACCGCTAATGTCGCGTTTAATTAAGAAATAAGAGTGTTAATGTGCGCTGCTGTGCTTAAGACCACAGATTTTGCTGCGTCACGCTGACTCTGACACACGTTCACTGAGGGGCGGGGACTCGCCATCTGCCGACCGGAAATGGAACTGCGGCTCGTGGTTTGAACGGGAACATTGAAATACAGTGGTGCTCTTGTGTTAGTGATCTCAATCAACAAATATCCTTTAGAGGAAATAATAATAATAATAATAATAATAAAGTAACAAAAAATGATGATACAATAAATGAAAATAAATAATTAAAAATAACAAATACAACAAAATAGTAAATAAAATAAATAATAATTAAAAATGAATTCATAAAACAAATGAAATATAATAAAATTAATGAAAAAGATATATATATATATATATATATATACCCATCTGTGTGTGGTTTAATATGTAAAAGAAAAAGCACAATCACCCGGTCACTGATATGCGGTGTCTTGTAAAACCATGAAGGGGTTTATTTTGCAAAATTATAATGACCGTGTGACTGCATCGGTTATTTTTACTCATCAAATAAATACCTTGACATTAAATAATAATACGAGTTTAAATTATTTCTGCTGATCTGCTTAAAATTGTATTGATTCTGCTAAAACACATTTAAAACTTTAAGGTTTCCACTATTAACACGTACAAAACAATCGTCAGTAGCCTAACATAAACGATATTATTAATCCTACTACCCAGCTAACAATTTTTGGTTCCCAGAACGTAATTTTTTAATGTTTTGTTTTAGGTTAGCCAGGAAAGTTTTCTTAACGTTCCAAGAACATTAGTTTTTGGTTTGTAGAACGTTATTCTAACGTTCCCCGACCGTTAGTTTTTGGTTCCCAGAAAAATAACCAAACGGGAACCAAAAACTAACGTTAGTGGAACGTTTTATATTTGCTGGGTAATCCGCACCCTAAAGCCTTGTTTTGTTTACATTAGTGAATTACTAGTTTTAATATGCTCCTGTACGGTCGTCATGATAGAGATCGACTAAAAAAAGTTCCTCTGGACTTTTAATTCATAAGATCTAATTTCAGCGATTGCTGCAGCTGAATAACGTAAAGATCGAGACGTTTAGACTAATGAAACATTGAGAAAATATACTGACGATAGTGATTATATGTTTTTTTCTCTGTTTTTAAATCAATCTCGGGTGTTTTCATAAGAATAAAGTATATTTCTAATGCAGTGCTAATCTACATTCACTGTATATAATATTAAAATAATATTTTTTTTTCTGGCTCATTCTGTGATAAATCACATCAGATTACTTCAATCACTTGAAAACTAGTATGGAGCAAAAACATGATCGCTCTCTCTCGTGAAGCCAACACGGAAGTGACTTAAACTGTAATTCATCAACTGGCCGCTAGAGGCTGGCTGCAAAAGTGAGTCAGTCCCATAGACTCCCCATGTTAAAATGTCCAACTTTACAGCAGAAAAAACATTTTTACAGCCTGGTTAAAAAAATTATTTTGGTCTATATAGCTAATTTTGCCCTTCATGACAACTGTGAGGGGGGGTGAATTTTTTTATAACTCACCCGTTTAAATTATATTAAGACTTGGCTCCGCCCCCTTTTGAGCTTCAAAAACGCTCTTCAGATATCTACTGGTGACGTCACGGACACTACGTCCATGTTTTTATACAATCTATCTTTTAATCTCATAAATTGTCAGGTTTTGATGCTGTGCTAAGCTAACACGCTAACCCTCATGTAGCTGTTATGCTTTATAGGAACAATTATGTTTTACTATTTTTAAAGAGGTCCAGACATGGACTTTTTTTATTATTATTTTAACGTTCCTCAAGGTTTACTTATAACGTTAATAAAGTTTTTTTGCACGACACTGCCTCGATTACGAAACAAAATCCTCGGACACAATCCGGGATGCCATTAAAAATAAGCTATCCACAGCTATCCCGTTTTTGGAGCTTGATTAAATAAATGCTTTGTTCATAATGAGGACGACGTTTTAAGCTATGAAACTTGCAGGATGTTTTACTGATATAAAGACCTCTTATATGCCAAAAGATCAAGGCACATTTGATTTCTCATCTCATGACCCCTTTAAAAACATTAGGTCACACCAACTAAATTAATGTGAAGGTTAAATCAAGTAGCAATAGCATTTTCAGCTTAATACTTTCTGATATTGTACCACAGATTTAGGTATTATTTTTGTCTCTGGTGGTCACCCTCTTTTGAGGCAGTGCCGCAGCACTATTATATTAGTGTCAATAAATATTTATGATAATAAAAAATGCTTTAAACCTTTTTATGATGATTCTATGACCCCATGTAATTATGTCACATGCCACTAGGGGTACGTGACGTCACCATGAAACGGCTTGGGATTCGTTTTAAAAATGACTCGTTTAAATGATTCAGAGTCGACTCTTTCTTTTGAGAGACAATAGCTGCGTCCGAAATCGCATACTTCCATACTATATAGTAGGCGAAAAACAGTATGCGAGGCGAGTAGTATGTCCGAATTCATAGTATTCGAAAAACAGTAGGCGAGAAGTACCCGGATGACCTACTACTTCCGCCCGAATTCCGTAGCATGCATACGATGGACACTTTACTATGTTTTGGACGGTCGGAGTGCGAGGACTGTGCAGTCACATATTCCTTTATAAAACACAAATAAACAAGCGAAAAGCCTTGTCGGGGGCGGAAGCGCATTGGGCATGGGGGCTTGAGTTGTTTTGCGGTTGGCGACAGCTGGATTGTGACTGGAGCGCTGATGGTAGGAAGTGGGGTAGATTCCGGAAGCGATCCGGAAATGGAGGATGCGGATGCGGATAGTGGAGGCAATGCAAGTAATGAATGGAAAGTGGTAGAAACTCGAAAAAGAAAGAAAAGTTGGGGACAAATCTCAGAAACGGACAGTGAAAAGGGAAATCACGAGGCAAGAAGGAGGAAAGAGGAATATAAGGTATTGCTGAAGTTTGCTAATGAGTCTGTTAATGTTATTAACCCTTTGAAACTAACAAAAACACTTAAAGAAATTTTAGGGACGATTGAAAGTATCAAGACATTGAGAGATGGCAAATTGATGTTGTTCTGCAAAGACAGTAGACAACAAAAAACGGCCCTGGGAATAAAATCACTGATCGGACATAAAGTTGTATGCTCAATCCCAGAAGAGAAGAATTGGGTTAGAGGTGTGATAACAGGGATCCCAACTGATATTTCAGTTGAGAAAATTAAAAGAAATATAACAGGGGCAGCAGTAAATGATGTCAGACGGCTCAAATGCGTCAGAAATAATGAAAAGACTGATAGCCTGTCAGTAGTGTTAAATTTTGATGAGAAATACTACTCGCATTCATACTATATAGAACGTACTGTTTTAACGGTCGAGTAGTACGTTCAAATCCAAATGTAGTACCTACTAAGCAGTATGCGATTTCGGACGCACCCAATAACTTTATACACGGTGCACTTTCAGATTTAAAACTTTGCAGGATGTTTTCATTCACTTAGAGCTGTGCTACACACTGCATGAAAGGTCATTTTCAAAAATCCATAATAGGGGCACTTACAGTAAGTTGAACTTGTATAGAGCTCATAATTTGAACCTGAACTGCATTTCTTTCTTTTTTGTTGTAATGATGGTAAATATGTTCTTTATTTTGCATGAACAGGATAAAACTTAGTTAGTCCCAAAACAATAACAATAAAAGCTGTTGACATTAATCATTACAGCCACAATAACAATGAGCTTTATCTTCAAAAATGAGTTCACACATAAAGCGGCCCGCTGGGTTAAAGATAAATGATTGAGGCTAATTATCAAACATCAGACAAACTGAAGCTGCTGCACTGTAAAGGAGACTGATCACAGTCAAGGGTTGTGATTTAATACAGTAAGTTGAACACATAAAGCTGAATTAAGTGGTGTTTGGGCAGTCCTGATGTTCTTCACAGGTTCTTGAACGTGTCTTCACCCTCGGGTTTCTCCAGCCACTCAAGAGGCCAGCTGGCTTTAACACTGGGACGGTCCTTTAGCATCTCGTGGTACTCCATCAGTCTGGGACAACGCTCTGGAGGACAGCTGAAACCAGATCAAACATTAAACCAGCCCTATCTGAACCTTCACCTGACAGCATCAATCATTAACCCTCATAATGCATTCAATATCTAATACTGCTTTCAAACTCAAAAAATCATTATTTTATAAAGCACTCATGACATAACGCATCTGACCAACAACTTTTCATTAATGAGAAGATGTGAAAAACGCTTTATATCCAGAGCGATTCACTCACTGAAGTCGCGGGAAAAATGCGATGACGGGGAAACAAACCACATCGGCCATAGTGAAGTTCTTGCCAGCGAGGTACGAGCCTTTACCCATCTATGAACAAATCACTCATCGTTAGAGAAGCTCATTATTATGCCCTCAAATACAGTAACAGCATCTCCTCTACTAATGAAGAATTGCTGCAATCAACACATGCATTCATAATCCATTACGCTGTTGTAATGCGCTTCATTTCAGAAAGAAATGTAAAAGTCATGGAGGCCAAAGTTCAAGTTCACCCTCCATAACTCTAATCATTTTACTGATAAGACATTAGGTTGCAATTAATTGCAACAGCCGCCTAAAACAATGACTATTTGACAATCATTACATTTAGATGAAAAGAATAACTGATGAATCATTCACAATGAGACCGGCAATCTGACATCATAAATGCATGATTTATATTATCAATAAATATCAATAAAATCTGACCTCCTCCAAGTATCCATCCCACAGTTTGAGCTCGGCGATTAAACTCTCTTTATTCCTCTTCAGAGCCGATTCATGTCTCTCTCCTTCAGGAACATACCATTCGTAGAAAGCCACGTCATCTGAACAAAAAACAGTGCATATGTTCTATCCATCAGGCTTTTACGACTCATATAGTCTGATACAGTGAGAATATGGAGAACAAAACAGCTCAGTTTTATTCAG